AACTATTGATATTTTTAAAGATATAAGCTCATTCCGGTGTTACACTCATCAAGAGTTTTCATTTGAGTACCTACATGCATTTTTGATATATATTTTTCATATATACATATATATATATATATAATATATATAAATATATGAAAAATTGATGTGGGTACTCAAATGAAAGGTCTCGATGAGTGTAACATCGAGATGAGCTTATACCTATATCTTGAAAAATGTCAATATTTCATAAGATACAAGGTCATTTCTTAATTATGTGTCTAGAGATACAGCATTTTTGAATGCTGCCTAAATACTTATCATAATAAATTGACTATTGGTAAGAATGATATGAAACCTTGAAAAGGCACAAATTCAAATCAAGACCTTTGCAATGATACTAAATTTCACTAAAAAAACCGATTTTATCATATGACTATCCTGGACACAAACTTTTCTTATTATTCATTTAATCATATAGATTAAAATGATAAAAAAATTTATTTAATTTAAAAAAAAAAATTTTGAACCACGAACATCATTTTGTAGAATTTTTTCTACTTTAAATAAAGCAGAACAATTTTTGAACTAAAAAAATTTTTTTGATCTAAGTAAATTTAACGATTCAAAGTAAAAAAAATTTCGCTCTAAGCTCAAGATTTTTTTCTCTTTATTAAAATTATTTTTTTATCAGTATAAGTGTGTAAAAGTTTATTAATGATTAACTTATGAATATAAATAATTTATACTTAGCCATGCAATAATGACATACATGGTTGATAAGTACGCGGAGAATGATAATCTTTATCCAAAAGATTTGAAAAAACGTGCGATTGTTAATCAAAGGCTTCATTATAGTGGAGGAGTTATTTTCTGTCGTTTGTTAGGAGCTTTAGTAAGTAATATATTTTATTATCATTTAAAATTGTTTTTATTTATTTGTCTATTTTTAACAGCAACCTTTACTTCGCGGTACGACGAAAACAGTCTCGCCAGCGTCGCAGCAGTTTTTGGAAGACTCTTATAAATATATGAACACTATTTTAGATGGACGGAAATGGCTCGCTGGCGATTCTTACACACTTGCAGATATTAGCAGTATAACTGCAATCAGCAGTGTTACGGTGAGATTTTATTTAAATTTAAGTAAAAATAATGAGACGAGATTTTAAATCGAAATATCGTTGAATTATATCTAATTATAGCTGGTCCATTCAGTTACACTGTTAAAAAATCAATCATGTTATGTGAAATTATTTTAAATTTGTTTCAATTAAAATAGCCAATCATTCAAATTGCATCGCTCAATTATTAATTAATTATTCAGTGAATTCTAGTGAATCATATTGAGATAACTCTAATAATAAAAATGTAACATAATTATTCGAGTCAATTGATGAGGCTTTTTAGTAGGTCAATCGATGGTCGGTTTTTTATTTTAAAATTATCAATACCGGCATTAAAAATTCAATGTAATCCGATTTGCATGAGCAATTTGATGCAATGTAATCTTAATCTGCATAAAATTTTTTTAGGTATTCAAATCGATAAATGATTATCCTAATTTGATAAACTGGATGAAAAATTGCCAAGAACTGCCAGGATTTACAGACATCGCTGCCGTAGGGATAAAAGAATTTCATGATTTAGTGAGCCAGCGTTTGGAAAAATAAAATTGTAAATTTTTTAATTCAAATTTTTACATATTTTTGAACAAATAAAAAAAAATAATAATTTTACATTTTATAAATTTTATATTACAGAAATTTCAATCTACACAAAGAGATGGCGGCACAATAATAATTTGCGAATGCGGTAGTGTTTTCATCTCATTATTTATCTCCATGTAGATTTTAATTAACAATCAGTTACGCAAGATTAATTTCAATAATCAGCAATTATGATAACTGATATCATGACTCAGCGGTTTTATTGATGACTCCAGTCCTTCAAAGTGTATCATGTAACTATCTAACGAAAATATAGCGGACTAGACTCTAGACTCTAGTCGTTCTTTTTAATTAATTCAACCAACTATTGTACTATACCAAGGAAGAGAATCATGGGAATCTTAAAAGTCTCAAGAAGTTTGTTCTTCCTGACACACGTACAATTCGTTGTCGTTTTAATACCAAGCTATTATGTTCTTCTTAAACTACCGCCAAAGAAATCATAATGAAATATCTTGCATTGTATACATAATTACAATTAATATTAATAATAAATAATACACACAACTCTCTATTCAGCTCCCTGATGTAACACTTTTCGCTCATTTATTTTGTTTTTATCTTCAGCTGTCTAATTCAAAGGGCCTGATGTTTTTAGCTGATGATGTCAACTAATGATATATTATTGAGAAGATTTCACAGAATCAAAACTAAACCGGACATAACATTTCCCGAATGATAAGATTATTTCATTTATTTTCATTTTGCATAAATATTTACTCATTATTCATTATTATTTTAAATTATAAAATTTGTTTTATAATTATTAATTTAATAATTGGTTTTATTTGTATCACTTTTTACATTTCATGTTTTACAAAGTATGATTAATAATTAATAATTTAAATATCGTTATTAACTTTTAAAATTAAAAAAAAAAAATAAATAAATTTCTGTTAAAAGAAAATACTAAAATCCTGCATATCGATTTCTTCTTTGCGACTAGAATCAATCAAAACTCCTGCCTTGACACTGTAATTGACAATAATTATATCATACACTTATTTACGTACCCATTTAAAAGCATTCGTGACTTGATATACTCTGGCCATCATTACAAATAAATAATAGTTGCCGCATATATTCTATTTCCATTATTTATTCCTCCTTTATCATTTCAGGCACTACTATTTTATTTATAATCTTTCGTAAATTACCCTACTCATTTCCGGTCGCATTGCTGCGAAACTCGTGCTTCAGCACACAACGACAGTGTAACCACTGAAGATCAAGCCTGATTCTTCAGAACAACTCAAGGGCATCATCATCTCAGATGGCCCTTTGCTCAGTGCACAGACTACCCATGTATAAAGTATTATACTAGTTTAAAATACAACCATAACTACCTTTTATAAATTCCAATGTTAAATTTATCATTTTTTTTTTTTATTAATCTTCAAATAGTTATTCTGGCTTATAAAATGCTACTTAATTTTATTATCCATAAAATTTTTTTTTGGATTTCGCAAAATCGAGTTATATAATTTTTAATTAATTTTTTTAGATGATTACTATGCAGTACTTTTATTTCTGCGTATTTAACACAGTAAAATTACAAATATTATACTTTTTTAAAATATTAAATCTTTAATGCGAAAAATTTGTAATTTTATTCAAATAATTTGAAATTTTTAAAATCTAAAATTAATTTCAATGTTTTTATCTCAAATTTTATTTATATAATGAGTTATATAATTTTTAATAAATTTTTTTAGATGATTAATATACAGTACTTTTATTTCTGCATTTTTAACACAGTAAAATTACAATTATACTTTTTTTAAAATACTAAATCTTTAATGCGAAAAATCGATAATTTCATTCAAATAATTTGAAATTTTTAAATTAATTTCAATGTTTTTTTTTTCAAATTTTATTTTTTACTTAAAAAAATTTTTTTTGTAAAAATAATTTTTTCTTTCATTTAAAAAAAAATCATTTTTTAAAAAAAGAAATTAATGTAATATCAAAAACAGAGTACTTTTAATGTAAAAATTATCAAATATATAATTAAAAAGTTTAAAACTCACTAAGAAAAAAAAAATTTTTGCACATCATAATATCATTAATTTTGTCTAGTTTTATATTAAAAAATTCATTGATTTCTTTTTCCTCGACAAATACCGTCAGCTGAATAAAAAAAAAAAAGGCCAAGTAAGCGTAATACAAAGCGCAATACAAAGGAGTCAAAAAAAGTACTTAAGCATTTATAAAATGCACGGATCAGGTCGATTACAGTATATGCAAAAAGATAACGATCAATTTGAAAATAAGTTAGCTTATAACTTATAAGTATGCAGATGACCGCAAATATAATACATGTAATGTAATATATCTATAACAAGAGTTCACCTGCTCGGTATAGTACGGATCCTTGCAATTGAACAAAGTATTTTAAATTTTCAATACTCAACATAACTCGAGTAATGTATATTAATATATAGCAAAATATAAGTTAAGCTGAATTGCATATTTAGTCTTTCCGCGAATCGAATGCCGCCGAATAAGTTACTTACTATACGCGATACGATATAAGAGTAAAATACCCAACAGTATAGTGGTGTAGCATTTGTGCGCGATCTCGTCAGACGGGTTTAGTTCTCTGGCGTGTATACTATACGTTTTGTTTCCTTTTCTTATTATAACTTATGTTTTTATTTTTATTTTTATTTTAACTTTTATTCCAACTAAACTAAACTCTTTTAACTTTTCTGTTCACCGGCATTCGGGCCCGTATTTTTAGACCGGTAATATACATAGCGCCAAAGTTAAACCAATTGGTGTAACATTACTCGATAATACTTAATACTTATACAATTATATTAATACAAGTGTTGACGAGACTTGGGCCTCAATTATTCTGAAGAAAGTAATAAACTGACAACGGAAACGAAGCTAATATTTATACGGGAAAATTGTCAAGGACGATCACTTTCGAGTCCCCAAGGTCTCGGTCCAACTTTTTTTCTTGATTTTTCTTCTTCGTATAATTTATCAATTATTTCAAATAAAATTCTATTTTTTTAATATTTTTAAATTCTATATTTATAAATGCGATTATATTTATAAACACTTGCTGCTGACCTTGCGATTATCAATTGACTTTTTTATTAATTACTTAGATCATATTTTTTTGCTGAATTTTTCTGTGAATACCCGGCTGGCATTCATCGGATATTTCTCTCAATTGTAATATCATATTTCGTATATATATTATAAATAAAATATAAATTATAAAAGAGTGGGTGATGAAGAGAGTAGCAACTACTGGGATTGGAGGATCCACGTGGTTGTAATTCTGTTTCGCGGTGACGGCAACACACAGTCGTCCACGAACTGTCTTGCTGAACGTGTGAATTTTTTATTACTGGAGTGAGAGGGAAAGTTTATTATTTAACAGTGTACTGTAATAGTTGCTTCAATAACCTGTGATACATCTCCGAAAATTTTCCAAAGGAATACACCCGGGAAATATTTTTAAAAGTTTACTTTATCTTTGGAATTTTTGTACTACTAGTTGTAGGCACAAATGATATTTATTTTGTGAATAGGTAAGAAAAATTTTCCAGAAAAAAAAAAAAAAAAAAAACGATGAATAATTATTTAAATTAATTTAATAAATAATAAGAAATGATTAATGATTAATTGTCAGATGACTGGTTGATTTGAAGAGAAAGAAAAATTATAAAAGTCAGCTCACTGTTCACAATCGGGCATTAAACCTTGAACTCTGAACTCATTTCCATCGCGATATTTAGTCGATTCGATGTACGATGTGATTTGTGTAGTTAATAATAAAATAGCGGGATATAATTAATAATTATAATATTAAATATGATGGATAAGAGAGCACGTGTATTGTAGTTTTGCGAAACGCGAACATCCTTGTTTCAACTACCCTATTCAATTGCCTGGAAATGTCAATCGATCGTGACGTGAATAATAGGTAATATATGATTCGTAATAGCGGGGACGATCCGACGATTTCGAGTTTGATGACACCGTTTGATCGAACTTGTTAGTATTGTTATTATTATCATTATTGCTATTATTATATTTTTCATCCGTTTGTTTTAGTCAAATCACGCATTGGCTTTACGTATATTTAATGCATGGATTTTATTTACGAAACTTTGACAATATACGTATAGTAGTAGTGCAATGTAGTTATATGTGTAATGTAAGTTTGTACAGACTTGACAGTATTATAACGTTTGGGAATCCACGCGACATTGTATTAAGTAAGTCGTAACTATAATCCAACAGTGAAAGTGTTGCCACAGGGTACACGGTGTTAATAAATTAACTTCTCTAATTTAATACGACCCGGAATAATATTTTACAACCTTATTAACAGTTAAAAACTTTTTTTCATTTTTATTATTATTATTTTTTAATTTTTTTTCTATTATAACTTTTTTTATCGGAGTAGTTAATAGGTCTGGCTAAATAGCCAATTTTTTTGATGAAGGCGCTTGATGGTAACTAGGGAAAAATAGATTTTTAAATAAAAAAGTTTTTTATGGAAAATTGTATTAGTATGAAAATTTTAATTATAAAAATTTTTTTATAGCTGACTAAAAATAATCTTTAGTTATTGCAAAAATTATTTAAAGATACATATAATAAATGATAATGAAGATATGACTAAAATTTAGATAAATTTGGTTGTGAAAAATTTATAGAGTTGAATTTTTTATTAAAACGAGTAAATCAACAATGTAAATATGTTTATTTATGATTATCTATTTATTATTCATAATAAGATAGAAAAAATGTATATTCAATTAAAATAAGTAAATACAAATCATGTATGTAAATGTGCTTACTTGTTACTTTTTTTTATTAGAGAAAAAAAATTTTGTTATATTATTCCGGGTCTTCTTCCTTTAAAATGCCGTCTCATTTTTTTATACACTGTGTAGCCTCGAATATAAATTTATGGTGTCTTATTTTGCCTGAGGCTTCTCTAATTACGCATATATTCAAAATTATTGACTATTATGTTAATTATGCGTTTAAACAAATTCTATATAAGAATTGCGGATCCTTGTTTCCGGTGGCAAAGTTAAAATTAAAAGCAAATTACTTTTCAATTTTAACAAATAATGTTTCAATAAAAAAAAAAAAAAAAAAAAATGATTTTTTGGTCCTATAATTATCTCACAAAAATTATTTTATTCTAAGAGAAAGAGAAAAACTCGATTAATAGTAAAGTATTTTAATCTAATTTAGAAAATAAAATGAATATAGTTTTATTAAATTATTTCTAGAGTTATTTCATGAAAAATTTAATCAACAAGATGATGGAAGATGATAATAAAATTTATATTACTTAGCATTATTTGAAATAGCGAGTATCTACATCCTGCAGAGATAATATACATTTCATATAAATAATAATATCTGGAGCAAGTAATAATTTTTATTTGAATATTCGTAGTCACAAGAACGGTTGGAATGCTTTTGAGAATGGGAAGAATTATTAGCAAAATGTGTGGATCCTGGATACTCTAAAATAAGAATGCTGAAATACTAATGAATAATTGCATATTTGTCGTTTTCAGTTCCTCCGGTTATTTTTGAGAGGGTTTTAAGTCGCAAAAAATGGGAGGCGGCCAGCTGGGCCTCCTCCTCTGGAAAAATTACGTCGTCCGCAAACGGAGACCAGTGAGTTGTTATTCAATACCTATTTATTTATTTTAAGTACACAACTAAAATATCATTGAAAATTAAATGAAAATACCAATTGAGTAATCTCTAATCGTTTCTATCTAAATCTAATAATTAGCGGTCAATTGTATTGAGTAATAATACTCACGATGATAATTTACTTTGCTATTATAACTAACAAACTGTAATTTCTTTTTCTTATTTTTATTTTTAATATACTGGTAATTGTTAAGAAATAAAAATCATTATAAAATTTTTAATAAAAAAAAAAATTAATAATAATAATAATAATAATCATAATAATATTTTTACATGTTTTTTTCTTACAATTAATTAGCAAAATTTATCACAAATATCACAGTATTAAGTATTGCTACAATTTAACTTATCAAAAGGTCCTATGTTCACAGATATGTATTTTTTCAAATCAATTTTAAAAAATAATTAAAAAAAAAAAAATAATAATAATAATAATAACAATCTCAACAGGGTATTCTGAGCCTGGTATTTCTATGGCCCGTTGTTGTGTTTATGATTCTTTACACCGTTCGTGACAACGTTGATCCCGAGTACAATCCAACATGTCAATTCCCAGCTCGTCGGATGCCACGCGATGGGCTTTTGCCATTTGTTCAAAGTTATATCTGCAGTATTGGCAATCCTTGCGATTCTCTGGATGACTATGAAGAAGTTCCATCCTACAAAAAAGCCACGTAAATAAAATTATAAATTATACCATACAATATACAATTATATCTTGACTTAAAATGTCACAAAATTATTAATCATACTTATTAAATAATTAAATCTAGATTGGGCCCGCTAATGATGGAACTGCAGCCGGTATTGCGAAACAAAACAATTTTGCAAGCCGTGGAAACTCTACCGCAGAGCGTTAAGTTTGTAAAATCAATGGCGGAAATTTTAACGAGGCCAGAAATAAAAAAGCTGTTTGATCGAGGCATAAAGCTCGGTGACTTATTCAATAATCACGATGCAGTTAAACAAGCGCTTTTAGCCCAAATGCCGGGAGCCAGAGAGGACCTGGTTGACGATCTCTTTGAGGCTTCCATAAAGCTTTACTATCTCATAGAGTCCTTCGGCTCATCAAACATCGACGGGATCATTTGTTCTCCGGAAAGCCTGAAGCAGTTCATTGTTCCACCAAAGGAAAAGGACCTGGTTGCTATCTCACAGGTTTTGTGCAATCTAGATCCCAACAAGGTGCCTCTAATTCTTGAAAGGCTGGCTCAACATTTAGATTTTCAAGGGCTCTTGGAGGTAGTCTCTCGAGTTATGGCTAAGTTTCGCGACTATGACTTCATCAGCGATATTAAAAGAGCTATTATTGCCGTCTTTGAGTTGGATACATTCAAGAAGTACGTACCTAGTTATTTGAAGTTACGTGAATGGGTGCCCGAGGTTCTTGAGCTGTTCAGAGACGTTAACTTCAAGGCCATCGATGTTTCTTTGTAAGTATTTACATTTTTCTCATTCAATTATCAGCGTACATATTATTTACATTCTCTTTGATTATTGCATCGTTATATTATATTATTGTATTATTAATGCTTATTCTTACGAACAAAAGATAGAGCGCTTAATAACTTTAACGCAAACAATTAAAATATTTTTAAAACACGTTGAATTTAGTTCATTGAGATAACCCACATACATTGATTATTTTTTTTGTAAAAAAAAAAAAACAATAAAAAAAATTATTTAAGAGAAATAAATCTTTTGAAAAGCGATGAATTTTTTTTACTTAACAATTTAAAACTTATTTTACTTGAGCGATAATTTAAAATGTGTTAATTTTTATTATCTTTAAAAATTTTTCTTTTATTATTAACTAACAATAATTATTATTAATTATAAAATATAGTAAATATTTACAAGTGGGGTCAACCATTTTAATTTTCATTTTTTTGAACAAAATTTCTATTTGATTTTATTGATATATTTTTTTTTGAAAAATACATAAAAAAATGAACAATTAAAAAAAAATTGATTATCACAATTTTAACAAATTTTCAAACTTTTTAGAAAATTGTAATATTCAACTTTTTTTTTTTTTATTACAATTTTCTAAAAAGTTTGAAAATTTGTTAAAATTGTGATAATCAATTTTTTTTTAATTGTTCATTTTTTTATGTATTTTTCAAAAAAAAATATATCAATAAAATCAAATAGAAATTTTGTTCAAAAAAATGAAAATTAAAATGGTTGACCCCACTTGTAAATATTTACTATATTTTATAATTAATAATAATTATTGTTAGTTAATAATAAAAGAAAAATTTTTAAAGATAATAAAAATTAACACATTTTAAATTATCGCTCAAGTAAAATAAGTTTTAAATTGTTAAGTAAAAAAAATTCATCGCTTTTCAAAAGATTTATTTCTCTTAAATAATAATATCACAATTTTCTAAAAAATTTACAAATTTTTTTGAAAATTTGTTAAAATTGTGATAATCAATTTTTTTTTTAATTGTTTTTTTTTTTATGTATTTTTCAAAAAAAAAATATATCAATAAAATCAAACAGAAATTTTGTTCAAAATCAACTTTTTTTTTTTTAATTGTTCGTTTTTTTATATACTTTAAAAAAAATATATATAAAAAACATCAAAAAAAGATAAAATAGAAATTTTATCCAAAAATACGAGAGCTAAAATTTTTTCCAACTTTTGAAGGCAAAAAAGCTATTGAAATCTTTATTTTTTTCTTTCACGACATTTTTTATCATAAAAAACGCCTTAACAACAAGCAGAATAAAAAAAAATTGAAAATGTTAATTTTTTACCTAGTTATGGCCCAAAATGGGGTTGACCCCACTTCTAAATAATTACCTACAATATTATAATTTAACATTCTAAATTTCCAATTAAATTATCACTCAATCAATTTTTTAAAATAATAAATTGACTTTCTTCATTTTTCCAGCATAAACAAGTCAATCGATAAAATGAATCCAATCTTCTTCGGCGACCGAGATTGGGCCACAGCTCGTCACGGGCTCTATAAATTAAATTCAATATTAGTAATAATAAAAGACATGACCCAAAAAAATACCACCCAAGAAGACAAGAATATTTTCGAACTGTCTCACGACGTCAGCAGAAGCATGCTAAAATTTACGGAGTTTTCCATGTACACCGAAGACATCACCAAGATCCTCGACGAGGCCTTCACGATGGTCCAAGACGGCGCCAAGCTAACGAACAAGCTTCTAGACCGGCATCAAGACGAGATTGAGTTAGCCACCGAAATTTTGGACAATTTGCGGGATATTTTTCCCAACAAAGTCATGACAACTCTCACTTATTTAGTGTCAATAACCGAGAGCATTGTTCGTATGGTCCATCACGTTGCGATAATACACGAAGAGCTCGATGAGAGAATTTACAACGTGTCAAAACAGCATGAGAACACAGTGAAGGAAATGTTTAGCGAAATCGAGCCAGATATTTTGCGCACGATCGTCAAGTCGTTCTCACACCTGGATCTTGCTGAGACAATAGTTGAAATGCTGAAGAACAAGCCTATAGAAGAGATTATTTGCGATGAAGAAATATTCAAGAAGATTTTTGGTGTTCATGAATCGAGTAATTATAATTATAATTATTCTGGAAAATCGGTGACACTTAATGAATTTGTTTGCCGTAACGAGACAAAATTATTGATAAAGGACATTTACGAAATCTTTGAGTTCGACAATTTCCGGTCAGTCATTGACAACACCCTGTCAACATTCATTAGCATGGCGCTAACACGTCCGGTGGCTATTGAGAAATCGAATTTAACTTCAACAGTACGTAGTATTCGTAATTTAATTTACTACTTTGAGCATTTACCATTGAAGAAGTTAGACTGGAGTGAGTTTCAAGTTCCGGATAAGTGGGAGCAGGTGTTCAATGACACTAAAGCGCAAGGCCGTGTTGATATATTGGGTTATCATTTGAGTATTGCTAAAAATACCGGCTCTAAAAGCTTCACCTACATGACAATAAAGCCCGACTTGGAGAACATGGATATCGTTGCGGACTTGATTCTAAAGGACTTGAGGGAAAACCCGACCGAGTGGATCAATCAAGTCCGGGAACATGAAGCTGAGCTCCTAGAAGCCTTTTACTTGACTGTAAGCGATCGGAATAAAACGCTAAAAATTTTAGAGTACGAGAATTTTACTCGCTCGTACTGCCTTGAAAGGAATAATGATTTGGTGACCTACCCGGCGGGCTCCAACGTTACTTTGCTGAAGGGGCTGGTCTGCAGACTCGCACGCGCGGTTCAAACCGAGCTTGAGATTAATTTGACCTTGTCAGAGCTCCAGGAGATGACTTTCAAGGACCGGACTCCCTTCAATTGGACGTCGTTCAATGAAAAATTACTTGAGATTTACACTTATGTAGACACTCTAGTGCAGTTTGATGGGGATAGTTATTTACTGAAGCGCTTTGATGAACTCAAAAGGAATTTTGAACGGACTTGGACGACCGATTTAACGGCAGAACACGCTTGGGAAATCAGGTACGTCTATTAATTGTTACAAGTTCACTGTAAAAAATTTTGCATGTCAAGTGATAAATTTTTTACAGTGACTTATTTACATAGTTCCCTTTCCCCGGTGAATAATTTTATAATAACAATTTTTGCAGCGTAGGTTTGCTGTGTAGATTTTTTCTCGTGGCGGAGAGCCCGCTTTTCAACGCCCAATCAAAGCCCAGCTGGCGGCAGCTTTACGCCGTAGCCTGGTCAGCTGCTACAGTATCCACCAGCATTGAGCACACCATCGACAATGTTCTGGACAACAACAACAACAACAACAGCTCTTTGAGATTATCAACAGTGATGAAAGATATGCCTCAAACTGAAATTCTTCTTGACACCGCTTTGCGCAATCTCCCCGCGATAATTCGTGATATTATTGACATTCTCATCCAGCGAAATCCGATTCAGCTGGTCACCGCCATCAATAACCACCAAAAAGTTGAGCAAAACTGGCCGTGCATTTTTAACAAAAGTATAGGAGACGTTTTGGAATTACGACCGGGCACCAAAGAGTTGATTCACGAAATTGAGAAAATTTCCTGCAACCCTGGTCTGTTTATAAAAGAGTGGGAAGAGCATGCTGCATTCAAGAGGGTATACGAAATAATAAAAAATCACAACGAGACGATATCAGTTCCATCTTTTAATTGGACTTCTGGGTACACGTCGTTCCGTCGATTGATTGCTAAATTTGTCATTTTAATAAACTCCCCTCTAGACCTTGCACTGAGTAACAATGCCTCAAAAACGGAATATTTTTATAGTGGTAAAATATTGCCAGAGGTGAAGAAAATAATAGACCAGTCGATGCCTAAAATAGCTGAGCAATCGAAAAGTATATTGGAGTACGTGGACATGGAAATAGATAAAAATATACCTGTATATAAAAGTAATATAACCGCTCGAGAAGCTTGGATGGATTTAACACCACGAACTCTCGATGAAATCCTTGTGATCGTCAAGTTTGGATCTCGTGTAATTCACGATGTTGTGGACGTGATTCTACGGCTACTTGGAGGTGATCCAAAAAACATAAATCTACTGAACGTGTTGGGATTTACAAGCAAGAGCCCGGTGTCTATTGTTAGGGATAGATTTCCATATATCCTTGCTACCCTAATTTACGGAGTCACCGATATGGATTTAGATAACCGTATTTATATTGCTATTAATAATAACAACAATAATAAAAGTATCAGTATAACTTGTGGTGAGATTTTTACGTGGTTCGAAGATTACAAAATAGGTATTACAGAAAAAGAGTACCGTATTCTCAAGAATTTTACTTGCGACGCCGACCCAGAGAATTTCAACGCTTTTATCGATCTCTACTTGAAAGAAACAACTATTTGGCGCACTCCTGTTTCAAATTACGAGCTTCATTTTCTCTCGCTCGGTGAACAGCTTTATAAACTCGCAGAGTTAATAAAAACTTTTAAAGAAGATCTGCAAATAAATCCACCAATTAATGAAAAGTATTTACAAGACGCTGTTATTACGCTCAAGAATATACTGGAAGTGCCGAAAAAAATTTCTTCTACACTTAAAAATAATTATGAATTGTCGACTTACCGTCTTGTCATTCAGGGATTGTCGGAAGTTCTTGACAATGCGGCTTTTGCGTTGAAAGACGCGGTCAAATCTGAAGACAATGCTCTGCAGTTGTGGGACTTTGTAAAAGCGGGCGATGTACATCAGTTGATCAAATATTTAGAAAGTTATCCCGTTGAAACAATATCATTTGTAGCGACTCTCAGTACATACAATACTACCTCGTTGATTCCTTTCAAAGACGTCAGACACATGATGTGTAATTTGCACTTCAATAGTAGCTATTGGAGCCAGCCGAAGGGGAAGCATTTTTTGAGCCGGCTCTGCACTTGGGATCAGTCTGAACTACTGAAACAAGCCACCAGTGAAGACTATGTTGATTTAATTAATGGGAAAAATGCGTCTTTAATAAAAATGAAGCCTCTGGTGAAGTCTGTCACTAGATTTTTGGACGCCTGGGTGAAATTGGAAGAGAAGAATAAATATAAAAAAATTAATTTTGTGTCTAATATTTTTAATGCTACCACGTGGAAAGAGCTTCCTAACGACACTCATGCGTTGATTCACGAGGCAGAAAAATCATGGATTCACAAAGCCGTCGCTGAGTTGGAACCGCTGGAATATGAGTTCAGTTCTGATGCACCAACTCGCTCTGATATTGTCCAGATGCAATCTTTCTTCAGGAGCCATCCAATGCATACTGCAATCCAAGTGATGCAAGTTTCTGAAGTGTGGTTGGACGTTATCAACGGTGGAGATATTTGGCAGAAATTACGAACTACTTTTGAGCACTCGCGTGTTAAATTCATACTGAATTTAATGGAGGACACGCCAAATTTGATGATTACTATTATAGACACGTTTTTAAACTCCGAAAGGCTCAACGATTTTATGGACAAGTTCTTGAATGGCACGATAAATGCCTGTGATATTGACAAGTACTTAATCCCCTCGGGGTATATAAGGAAGAAGGGGATTATTTCAAGCATCACTAATTTCTGCAGTAAAATAATAAACAGCAATGACAGTTTAAATGTAAAGGATTTCAAGCCACTTAGAGTTGCATTAAATGTTATTTCAAATTCTGAATTTAGTATTTTCTATTACTCGGACAAATTCGTTGAAGACAATAAAATGACTGTTAAGGCGAAGTTAAATGAAAGTTACTTTGTAGAGCAGTTGGAAATATTTCAACAGATATTAATTCACGCGGTAAGTGAGGGTTATAAATCCCCGCGAACGCCGTCTTGGATAACTTCTTTTCAAGAAGCTACTTTAAATGACTTCAAGAAGCAATTTTACACTCCTACTGCGGGTTCAAAAGACTTGAGATCGCTGGCGCACTCGGTTGTTATTAAGTCGACCAAAGTACTCAAGAATATATTTATTTCGACACCCGAGATTAAAAATAATTGTTCGTGGTGCAATACACGGGTCATTGAGATTATTAACTCCCAATTGGCGCATCATGAAGTGTACTCGGAAATACTTTGTAAATTTAATCTGATGAATGTGTCACAGATACAAGAAATCATAGAAAATCGTCTGTACTGGAAGAAAACTATCGGTATGATTAAAAATTTTGAGTTTCTGAGTGTTAAAAAAGACGTTGATAGTTTTATTACCGCTCTTGAAAGTGCGCTGCATTATATTACCGACATTGTAATGGATTACAAAGACCCCGAAGGGAAGAAAAATTTAAACGAGTGCCTCACAAAAGCCGTTAACGGCGTGAAAAATTTTTCTCCGGGAATTTACGTTAAAATAATTGTCGGAATTATTGACGCGTTGGAGAAGAACATAAAAGTTCTGGAGCTTCCGAGTAACAGGGAGGATTTGAATAATCGCACAAGATTATCCGAGAAGTTTATTCCCATTTGGAAGCCTTTGAGGAGCGTTGTAAAGCAAGTATACATTGGAGATGTGGATAAATTACTTCCGAATGCGAGCATAAATGTTAATTTATTAGTGAGCGATAGTAAGAGCTCTGTGTGCTCAAACGCTTCTTGCAGAAATGCTTCAACGCTGAATAATATCTTGAGTTCAAAGAAGGTACACAAGTTACTGAGGTACGATCCAAGATTATCAAACTATCCGTTGACTTCAGACATCTCGAAGTTACTCGCAGATAGTTTGGATTTTTACTTGATAAACCGCGAGATTGTATCGTGGCGTACTGATGATTCATTTAATTTAACTTGGCTACGCGAAATCCTCCAGCATTTATCAGTGGTTCTGGAGGAAGGGGGTAGTTTGTTGGATGTGGCAAGTAAGATAGATTTCGAAGACGTGTCCAATGTCCTCGGAGTCCCGGATCTCGCTGATGGAGTGGTTAATTTATTGAGAGACAAGACTGTAGACAAACTTTTCGGAGGGCTGAAGGAAATTCTCGACGATGTGGAGCCTTTCTTGGACAGCGATTCGGTAAAGCATGACCTTTATCTGATTGTCGATGCGTTTGAGTCCATGGAAATTTTCAAGAATTTGGGTCTACTTGATATGAAATACCTCGTGGCGGAAATGTTCGTAGATTGGGGCGTGCTGAGGAGGTTTCTGTTGCAGGATATGCAAATTTCAAAGGAATTCGTCGAGGTAATAAGCCAAAGCAAAATAGATATGCTGTCGATATTTATGAAGGAGCGCTCAGCTATTAGTTTGAAGGACACTCTTTGCTCTGAGGACAATCTGAAGAACATGCTCAGTTTCGAGGGCTCGAAAACTAATGCCGAAGAAATTAGTTCTGTTTTATGCACTCTCAGTTCTGCAGCGACCCAAAATATGACGATTACTTTGATCCAAAATGTTAATTTTGATTATGTTTTTAGGACTTTGATGAGCGCTAATGTGAAGAATATTCTCAAAAATGCCAATCTCAGCGAATCTCAAGGGAAGATTATCTTTGATAACATTGGCGTGGTTGCGGAATTGGTGCCTTTCTTCAAAGACAACCTTGCGTCAGGAGTGAGTTTCAATGATCAAGGAGATAATCCCGAGAGCTCAGAGGTATCTAGTGGGAAATTCCTGCAAGATGCTAGCAAAATGCTGTGTGGTAAGCAACTTATTCAAGACAGTGGACAGTTTTATCGTATTATCAGCAGCATTGAGGACAAAGAAAAGACCTACGATCAAGCGGAATTGAATTCGCTGCCCACGGAATTTTGTAGAGATACTTATAAAAACGTTTTGGCCATGAGTGGTGGGAAGATTGTTTGGTCATATGTAAAACCACTGTTAAGAGGAAAAATTTTGTACTCACCAAATTCGAGTACAATAAGAAGAGTGATGGGTTTGGCGAATCAGACTTTCAGCGAAATAGATATATTTGGAAATTTGATGACGAATATTGAGAAGACTTTGGTCGCTTTGGCGAATTTGTCAGACATGGGAGAGAGTCTCAATGATTTGAAGGAGATAATGGCCTCGAAGGTGATGAAAATAGCGATTAAGTCTATGAGTGGTGGTAAAATGCAAGGTGATTTGTCGAACTTTGATTTAGGGGAAATTGCGTGGAAACTGAAGAAATCCGGCAGATTAACCCAAATGATAGGAATGCTGAATGACTTTATTGAGTGTGTACTCGTGGATCGCATGATTGGATTTGACACTGAAGAAAAACTCGAAGTAGAGGCAAGAAAACTCACTGATACAAATGAATTTTTGGCCGGAGTTGTCTTCATGGATACAGCTAAGTACTCAAAACGTTCTTTGGACGAAGGCCTGCCTGACGATGTGGCCTATAAGATTCGCATGGACGTGGACTATGTGCCATCGACAAAAAGATTGAAGAACCAATTTTGGATTCCTGGGCCTGAGGGATCTTTCATTGAAGATCTGCGGTATCTTCGCGGGTTCATCCAGCTTCAGGACTCTATTGATCGAGCGATCATAGAGGTAAAGTCGGGGAAAGAACAGAATTGGAAAACTCTAAGCCAGCAGATGCCGTATCCCTGTTGGAAGTATGCGCCTTTCCAGTCAACTCTCTATGAATCTCAAGGGCTGATAATTTGTTTCTACTTTGCCCTGATGATGTGTGTGGGTTCAGCGGTCCGGTACATCGTATGGGATAGGGAGTCCCAGAATGCGATGGTGATGAGTGTTATGGGTCTCAAGCCTTGGAGAAATACTTGTGCTTGGTTCATCACCACGGGAGTGGAATTGACTATTGTGATGGCGTCTATCTGCATAATTTTGACTGCCGGAAAAATTCTTCCTAATTCAGATCCTTTGTTGGTCATGTTTTTCTTCATGGTCTATGTCTTCTCAATTGTGACTTTCTGTTACATGATCTCTACGATGTTCAGCTCTGCTAGCTTGGCGGCTGTCACCACAGTCGTTATGTTTCTGCTTACTTACATGCCCTATGTCATCGTTATTGCTATGGAAGCGACTTTAGGACTTGCTTACAATATTTTGCTGGTAAATATTTGGTTTTTTATTACTTCAATTTTAAAATAATTAAAAAAAAAAAAAACTAGCAACCTTGCAGTCACTATGTGACTGCCGTGACTTGTGAACTATAAAAAATTAAGATTTTGCTTTATTAAATAATCACTTTTGTTAAATTGCATTGTATTTTCTTAAATATCGACGTTTTTAAAGATATAAGCTCATCCCGGTGTTACACTCATCAAAAGCTTTCATTTGAGTACCCACATGCATTTTTGATATATTTATCATATATACATATATGTAATATATATTTTAAAGATATAAGCTCATCCCGATGTTACACTCATCAAGAGCTTTCATTTGGGTATATATATTTCATTTATACATATATTTATTGACATTTTTCAAGATATAAGCTCATCCTGATGTTACACTCATCAAGAGCTTTCACTTAAGTACCCACATGCATTTTTGATATATTTTTCATATATATAATATATATAAAAATATGAAAAATTGATGTGGGTACTCAAATGAAAGGTCTCGATGAGTGTAACATCGAGATGAGCTTATATCTTTAAAAATGTCAATATTTCATAAGATATAAGGACATTTCTTAATTATGTATCTAGAGATAGAGCATTTTCGAATGGAAACAAAATTTTTCTTATTCTATCAATAATATACATGATAATAAATAATAAATTATTTTATCAGTGTCTGAGTATGTCAACGAGTTTTTGTTACGGCTGTTTATACGCAACTCGTCGCGAAGTCCAAGGAATTGGTCTCACTTGGGATCGCCTTTGGGAAGAATCTAGCCCTGGAGATCCAATGTCTCTAGGTCTTATTCTAGTCATGATGGCAATTGACGGAGTGCTTTATGCATTAATAGGATACGTTGTTACCAGATACACCAATTCAGGTATGATTATAATTTTTTTTTAACTATCAATTAATAATAATTGTGCTGTATGTAATTAAATGGGGTTGGTGTTGGTGTCTATGTTCTCTTTCTGTAATAATAATGTATATTTAAAAAAATTGTAATTTTAAAACATGTCATACATGGAAAATATAAAAGAGATTGATGTTGAAGAGAAGAGGAGAATAGCAAGCAAAAGGCAAACGATAAACATTTTCAGGTAGGGATTTTCATGGGTTGAGATCACGTAGTTTATGGTGGGCAGACACTCGCTCTCTCTACGGTCGACCTAGCTACCTCGCCTTCGTCAACAGTCTCTATTTCACTAACGATGTTCTGCACCCTTCAGCAATTTATCAAGGTATCATTCGCCGCATGAACATATATATAAGTTATTATCTTTTTTTTTTTTTTACACTGTAACATGTTAATTTTACTTTTAATTGGCACATCATTCATACCCCTGTACGTACTTTGTTGGCGTTTTAAAAAACTTTCTGTTTGTGACTACCATTATTACTAAATATTTTAATATTGTACATAAAACAAAAAAACATTCCCGTCAAAATTTTAATAATCAACATGATAATCTATTGTATGTATTAATTTATTGATTAATTAGCTAATAATTTACCCCTGAATAATTATTGTTTGTATTGTTGATAAGAGTAGATGAGGATAGTGACATCAGCAGTATGACAGTAAACGAAAAACAAATAGGTGTGAGATTTGAAACAGTGAGAAAAGTTTTTCAAACAGAACGAGGAGAAGTTGTTGCAGTGGATGACTTTAGTTTAAAACTTTGTGAAGGAGAAGTCACCAGTCTCTTAGGTAGAAATGGTGCCGGTAAAACAACAATCATGTAAGTTTTTTTTTATATTTTATACTATGAGTTTCTGAAATACTTATTAAAGTTTCTTTAAATATGGTTTATATTTTTTTCTAAAAACCTTTTAAGGTTCGCGTATTTATTTTTATATTTATAAACGATTAATTATTATTATTATTATTATTATTATTATTATTATTATTATTATTATTATTACGGTAATTTTATAAAAGTATCAAATTTTTTATTGTACTTCTTACTCACGTTGCTAAAAATAAATTATAATTTTTCAGTCTCTTTTCATAATTTTGCTAATAAAACTTGAAAAATCGCACGGAATAATACAATATATATTTATATATACATATATAAATTTATTTTTACTGCGGAGGTCTTCCCATTGTACCATACGACGGCATATTTTGTGTTGTACTAACTGGAGGTTGACTCGGGCCACCATTCCTTAATATCTGTGCTTAAGTAGCCGGAGTACGAACTTGCTGTGCCGATTTCACTTGGCTCACTTGACTATTTATTGTCGTTGCTACGGGAGCCTTAAAAAAATATCAAAGATACAAATTATTTCAAGTTAAAAAGAAACGAGTTTATCTTAGCTACTATTGAAGTCAATTAATTACCTGTGACGTAACTGGTTGTTCAGATGGCAGCGTAAAGTCTATTATAAGATTTCTAACCGCTGGAAAAATAGAACACACTTGTAGTTTTGTGAATTCTGCAAATCTCTTGAGGTGCATTGATACAGCACTTAGTATTGGTTTTGGAACAGGATTTTTTTTTTCAAAAAGATTCATTATGTTAGTCGAACAATCATAAAGTAGTGGTAAAATTAACGACGGTGTTTCTCGTTTAGTTTCATTTTGATTTTCGATTTTTGTGATTTTTAACTGAAAGATTAAATATGATTAAAATTTATTTATATTTTTATAAATAAAAAAAAAAAAATATAACAATTAAGCAATAATCAAACTTACGAAAAACAGTATTTTATTAGCTTGATAAATAATTGCTGGTGCTCCATAAGGCAACATGGCTGGTGTAAGTGAAGGTGGAATTTTTAAAGACCACTGAACAGACCAATTCGATTGGTATTGTTGTTCATGAGAATTCAGTTCTAGTTTCATTATTTGTATAAAATCTTTGAGAATATTGATAGGAAGAGATAGCATTTTACATAAACACACAATCGGGCTAGCCTTATAAGGCGTAGAAGAAGCATTAATATCAAAAAATCTTTCATATATTTGTATCTCTTCACCAGTCCACTTGTCTTTATGCTCAGAAATCGGTTGCATTTTAATGTGAAGAGACTGCATGTGCTGATTGTTTAAAGCAATACGACATTGCAAAGTTTCAACTTTGAAGTATACAGCACCAGGCTCTGTACCATTGCAGAGAGTAAAAGCACTATCATTTTGAAGAAATCGCTGAAGTTGTCGCTTTAGATAAACACATGCCAAGAATCTTTCCAGAGGAGGAATATGCATTCCGGGAACTCCTGAAGGATGAACTGAAGGCGTACAAAGTAAATCAAAAGTTTGGTGCGACAAAAATGTCGGAACTGCTCCGGCCCAAGCTTTTTGAGGCAAAACTCTGGACACATGACCACCAGCTCTGTAGTCTGGAGCTGAACTTGGTCCAGCAATACATCCTGGACTTTGACCAGGTCGTACTGGTGAAGGTTTCGGGACACTAGGAGATGCAGGCCAATTTGACGCAGCAGGAGAAGTCATAGTTTGAGATGAAAAAGGACTCGTCAAAGGTGCGTCAATGTAATTAGCTGGACTTGGTGCGTGAATAATATTCATAGGACTGCTCGGTACGAATCCAGAACCAGGTGACGGATGAGGCATCATGTTAGGAGTGTTTGGAGGCATTGAAGATGGTGATAGATTATAGGATGCAGCGGGACTGTTGACATAATTTTGATGTTGAGTAGCTTGCATGTTCATTGTGTGAGGACTGGCTGGAGTATGAGGGTTGCTGGCAGAAGGAGGTGTTAAAGGATTATGACGAAATCTCAAACTGTCACGCTTAGCTGGTGATATAGAATTAGTTTGATGGCGACTCATAAATCCATTTCCGACATCTATGTCCATGGAAATTGGAGATGGTGGGTTATCATCCTCGGTTTGAGAATGTTGTTTGAACTGTGGTGTTTCTTCATACTTTGACAAGAATGTCTTCAGACCTTGAGTAGGCGTGAATTCATTTATTACATTACTTCGGTCAAATCGACTGTAGGTGCCATCTCGTATGGTAACGTACCCATTGTCTCGGAATCTCACTTCTAAACAATACGTTGCTTGATAATATATCCTAACAATTGTAGGACATTGGGCTATGATTGTAAAAGTCTTAATTGGAACTGAGCTTCTGTTGTAGATTATACCCACTTGAGGCATCGTGGATAACTTATTGATGGAAATGCAAGGCTGCAACGTCTCATGTAGAATCTGGATTAATTGTGCTAAGTTATGGTGGCGATTTAAATGAGCTTCAAGTTGATTTTTTAGCAATGAGTGTCCATTAATCGATGTGGTTGCTAGGCTTTTAATAAAATCAAGTTTAAAAGATTTATCACTTATACTCCAATATATGGTTACTCTGTATTTGTGATCAGGACCGTAACCTAGAACTAGTTGATTGTACGTATAAGATTTTACATCAACAATATCTTTCAAATCATGCTTTTCAGTGTTGAGGTACGCTGAAAAATTGTCGACAATTGAGTAGAGATGGACCATTTTTTCCCAATCCTCCAATAACGAATTTACGGTGATTGATAAGGCTTCAGCCATTCTTACGAAGTATGAACAATAAACTGGTCTTCTTGGAACTTGTTCTTTTGGATGACTAGTGGTTAAAGGACTGCTGTAAAATACAAATTCTACCATCAAACTCATGGTGCTGTCCTTGCTTCGCATACGAATTGAAATACCGAGCAATCGCTTCATTAATGATTTCCAAGCAGTAACAATATTTGGATCTGATGATGGAGATGGTAGTTGAAGTATCTTAAGTACTATAGCAGTGGCATTAGTGTCAACTTGAAGCCCTTGATGAGGTATACCTCGTTTGTTAAGCTCGTGAGCTAAAGAAACGAATGGAATTCTCTCATCACAAAGTGCAACCACGTAAGCTAATTCTGGGATGAAATAAGCAGAATGTTTCATCTTTTTACTTTGTGATGTAACTAGCTCAACATCCTGACTAGATGGCTCAAAATTTGGTCGCTTGGTTCCTCCTGAAGATAAATCAATGTCAATATTCATATTTGGTCCATGAGTAACAACAAATGTATCAAATTCTGTCAGACTTTCTACTCTGTAATGCAGCTTCGGGATATCATTATCAAAACTGTCGTTGTGTTTATTATTTTGAAAAGCCCTGTCCATCAGGCAAGACCTTACAGCAGCTAAATGATAAGTATACTCCATTTCACCGGAAAATGATTCTTTCTCTTTGAATTCGACAATTAAAATTACGGAAGGATGTTTTTCAAATTTAACAAACACCCGCCGTTTGCCATTTGTAATCATTGGATGATTAGGTTCAAAAATAATGGGAGCTTGGTCGTGTGTTGTTACAGGTAAATGTTGTAGAGTCTTTTTACATCTTCGTTGAGTAATCCAAAACCTCAGATCGGAAATCAATACTGGTAATCGGGAACGATCGTCGTTGACAGCAGCTGATAATTCTGAAACGAGTTGAGCTTCGTATTCTTCAATATTACACTGTAACATACCCGTGTAAGTATTGATACTAATATTAAGAAGCTCCGCTGGCAAACACGGTTGAAGAACTTTGACGGATAAAATTGTTGGAAAGCCTGCCAGGGAACACTCAACATTTTTTATCATATTTTGAAGATCTAGCTTCAGTTCTGAAAGCCTGATATATGTTCTGGCATTAATAGTATGAACAAGTAAAGATTCCATTGATAGCTGGTCGCCGTTAATCATTCGATCGGCTATTCCATTTTCCTTGATACCAAAAGAAGGAATATTAATAACTCCGAGAGGTTCAGCTTGATTTTCTTGGTCCATATGAACAGTTAGTTTGTAACAAAGTTTTAATTCTGGATATTTTATCGTGAGCTCTCTCCAGTATGATACTGTTAAACGTTCACCGGGTTTATATTGATCAACTTGAATGTCATTGTTCAATCTATCTTGCATCAAACGAAGTGTTTGTAAGTAAAGTACTTCAAGTTGGAGAGATTGGCAAAAATTGTGTAAGACGTAATAAGCGTCAGTCAGTAAATTTGGAGTCTCTAGAAGCCTTGCTTGCACGAGCTGATGCATATATTTGTTCTGTAAAGGATGAACTAAGGCGGTTCCACTTCCAGTTTCTCGATCTGATACAAGAAACTCAAGCTCTAACAAACGCCATGGGACATCAGGTCCATCGCCCATAAGTGTCAGACACATTGAAAATTCATTAGGAACATGAATAGTTACTCTTCCAGCTTCTATTTTTATGTCAAGCATTTGGGGAAGCAATTTTTCGGTAACTAATCGCTGCTGTATGACTTGACTTAATCTTTGCAATGTTGATTTTTTTTCTGCAGGGGTTATTGGGTCACTTGGAACAATTCTATCTTTGATACATGCTGGAAGACGTTTGAAAGTTCCTGTTGTCAGAACTTCTGTAGCTGCTACTATATCGAAATTCGGAAGACTTGCTGTAACCAAAGTTTCTCTTGATAATCTTGCCAATTGGTCGGCAGTATCCGCAAATAATAGAGATCGATTATCGAGTTGAGTTATTGCTGACTGTAAAAAATGAAATTTATAAAAATTATATTAGATATAATATTATTTTTATCTTATTTAATTTTTTTAAAGATAGTATACATACCGCAGCGTTGTTAACTTTTGAAATATTGTTCGCCCATTTAACTAACGCCAATAATTTAGTGAATAAGATTCTTGATTTTTCAGCATACTTATAAATAGAAATTTTTCTTTCCATATCCGAGTGACTTCCTAATCTGAAAAAATAAAATTTTTATTTAAAAAAATTTTGATTCTATCTTTATATATATTTCTTCTGTGCGTGTGTTTGTCACTGAACTCCTTCTAAATGGCTGGACCGATTTTAATGAAACTTTTTGTGTCTTCCGGTGGATTTCAGAATGGTTTAGATTTACAATTCAGTCCACAGGAAAATGTTTATTTAATAGATTTTTTATTTATAAATTGTTGTTGACCTTGAGTACCCACATGCACTTTTCATATATTTTATAAATATCATATATATAAGATATATGAAAAAATTCATGTGGGTACTCAAATGAAAGGTCTCAATGAGTATAAAATCATAATGGACTTATATTTACGAAAATGTTAATAATTATCCAATGATAATGTATTTTGTTAACTAACGATGTTTTTAACGATATAAGCTCATTCCGATTACACTCATCAAGAGCTTTCATTTGAGTACCCACATGTGACATTTTTTATATATTTTA